CTTAAAAGGATTCGTGCTGCCAACAATCTTTTCCCCTTTTTTTTTTTCCTCTTCCCCTCCTTGCGTGGCATTTGTTAGAAATCAGGATTTTCCTTAACTAAATGTCTTGTGGTCTCCTTAGCTTTGTTTCTTAACAGGGTTGTCTTTATGTTAGTTTTCTTTGGCTTCCCAATAGAAGAGTAACAGATTTCTTTTGAAGTTTTTATTGATGAATGAGCTCCTATAAATAACTCTCTGTGGCAGCAGCTTGATCTCAGAGTTTACTCTGGAATAATAGTAGCAATGGGAATGGAGGAAATTTATGGCAGCATGACATGAAATAGTTTAATGGGCTTCATACTGTTTAACTTAATCTTTACAGATGTAAAAACAGAAATACAATTATTTTAACAACTATTATTACATATTGCTCTTCTAACGAAAACAGAAATTCAGTAAGCAATTGGAGATAGGTAGTGAAGAATTAAGGGGTCCAGCTCACCGTGGATTCGGGAATTACTGGGTTGGGGCAGTGGATTTGCAAAGCCTCATCTGGAGAGCTCTGGGAGATGCGAGGTGGCTGGGAAGGATGAGCCTGCAGGTGGGATTTGGCAGTGGCATGGAAAGCTGAGTCACAGGATGGAAGTGCTGGAAGCTGCTAAAACCTGTGGAGCTCTGTCTTTGTAAGGAAAAGAAATCAACCCAGTGTTTCATGCCCCTTTATTCCACCTGTGTGCTTGGGGAGGAGCTGATCCCAATCCCACCAAAGGCAACTGGGGGTACTTGGACACATCCCTTGTGCCCTGTACCCCCATGAGGGGCAGAGCTGGAATCCTCCCGCTTTAGGAGCAGAAACTCTGCTCACACCAACCAAAGGATGGGAAGGATGGAGGGAGATGATGAAAAGTCACCTGATAAAAGAGAATTTTATGTTTATCACATGTCTGCTCATCTTCCCATCATGGGTTTGATCAGGTCTCTCAGACAATGTCACTTGAGGCAAAGGTGACCCAGATGTGCCTCTTTAAGCTGTGGAAGCTTAGGAAAGTGAAAAGGAAAATCATAAGAATTTTCTGTCTGAATAGCCAACCCAGAGGCCGGCTGGCATTTCAACCAACCCAGGATCCAGCTGGGGGGATGTTTGAATCAATGTGCAAGAGGTGGGTGTAAAATCCAGTACCAGAATTCCTAGGAAAGGTCACAAGACCTAATCCAAACCTGAGATTTCCCCAGATGTGGCTCATGGCCAAGCCCAGTTCCATTTGCTTCTCGTTGCTTCGCGAAGAACTTGGGTAAATATTGAAACATGTTCATGCTCTGCGTAGTTTCTATTGAAAAAAAGCTGACAGCTTTTGTTTCCTCCTTGAGGGAGCGTTATTTGAAACAAAACTGCAGTGAAAATGATCAGCATTGTGCATTTCCAACTGTTCAGTGGGAAATTTGCATCCTCCACGACGCTTTCCAATCCACGGAAATCGCCCGTGCGAGAAAGAGCTCGCAAATTCTCCCTCGATTTCCAAAAATGTGGGAAAGTTTATTTATTTCTCCGTGCATTCCTGATTCGCAATGTGCTCTCTAAAAATGTCGCTAAGATTTAGGCTAACCGAGCTCATGCTAAATTTAGCAACTATATTTTAAATAAACATTCTTTACGCTTTGCTGAGCCGGCTTTGAAGCTGGCTTAAAACAAATCGTGTTCGCATGAACATGAGCAATGTTTGACTTTGGCCTAAGAGAACATCTGAATAAGTAATAATGTATTATTCTCTATAATCCGAAAATGAGATTTTGGAGGTTTAATTCAGTCAATTTAGGAGAGATTCCTATGAGGGATAGCGAATCAGGCCTGGATTATTTCTGGAAGGGCCCGTTCTGTTCTCTCTGACCACACAAAACTTCCTTTCGGTGTCTTGTTAGACACTGGAGCTGCGAGGCTCAGTGAAATCAGCTGTGACTTAGCACGCATTGCGTTTGAGGAATCTGGCCCATTTTAAAGCACTTAATGATTTGTCTGGATAAAGCACTAAAAATATACTGTGGGGAGCAATTATGCAACGTCCAGACTGATGGATTGCATAACCTCATAGACCTTTTCCATCTGTAACTTCTCTCATTCTGTGATCTTGTCTTCTTGGTCTTTCACTTCAAATCAAATATGTGATCTGTTTAATATCCCCAACGCTGTCTCCTGGGAGATCTCTTCTCTGGGTGTGTGGGGCTATGAATCAAGTGAGGAAGCAGATCCTTCTTCCCCTTTTTGCTTTGGGAATTGGCTGCTCATCACACCAGGCTTAGGAGCAGTCTGCAGGAAGCCAGTGGGTTTTGGTGTGGAAAGGGATGGTCCCTCCCTTATGTGCTTTCTCTGGTAAAGAATGGAAAGGGAATTAACTTTTAAAATGGGGTGGTAAAAGGAGAAGAGGCTGCAAAGTCCCTCAGATTTATGTCACCTTGGAATCAGGCATGGACAGCCACACCTTGAGTGACAAATCCTCAAGGTGGCTTCTGCTCATATCATAAAATATAATCAAATACTTGATTATATTTTATACCTGCTATGGGACCAACTTAAGGAGAACACACACTGAGCCTACTTAAAGACTGGAAGCCCCATTTATGAGAAGTTAAACTCCGGAATTATTTTAATATGCTCAATTTTCAGTTCCCCTCATAGGAAACTGGTGTTTGGAGCAAAGCTGCTCTGGGAACCAAACAACTCCTCTGAGAGCTTCTCCCCTCTGTGATCTCCCCTGCTCCTAGGAGTTAAAATTGGCTGCAGAGCTCGGAGACGGGAAACCTTGCTGGGTTGGGAGAGGTCATTCCTCTGCAGAGGAAGGGGAAGGCATCTCCATCGCCCACACAGGCACTGTGCTGTTTATTCTGCATCCCAGGCTATTTTCTCCACTTCTCCCCAGTATTCCAGACTGGTGTTTATAGCCAGCCCTGAGAGGTTGGGAAAGCCAGGAGGAGGAAGATTCCAGGGATGAGGGAAATTCTGGGTGGCAGTTCTGTGCTTGGCAGCTGCTTTTTTGGTTTGTGAAGGAGGTGTGAAACCATTGGCACCGATTCTTTGCAGCTTGTCAGGTCCTTGATGTTTCAGAGGGCTGCACAGCACCAAAACTCAAATGGATGTGGGGAGGATTAAAGGATGCTCAGCCCCATCCAAAGGGCAGGAATTGGTATACTGACTGCACACTCGTTGCTCTGCTGTTGTTTTTACTGAGTGTTTTTATTTTATGTTTTTACTGTATGTTTTTATTGTACCATGACTTCTCCCCTCTCTATAAACAGATGACGTGCAAAAGCCGTGTGTGGTTACTCATCCAGCCTGCTGGCAATAAGACCCTTTTTCTTGGTGTTCATGCCCTGTTACAGCAGTGGCCTGATCCCAATTAATTCCAATTTGCCTCTCAGAACTGCTCACCGGGTTCTGAGCTCACTGGAGTTGGTGTCACTTTTGTGCAGAGCATGTTAAGTTTACTAATTTCACTCCCTCAAGCGAAACCAAAATCAAGCTCAAAGCGGCTTTTAAACGCTGCAGCTGTACTTGGTCCCACTCCACTCCACCAAAACAGAAATAAGATCAAATGTCAAAGCAAAGCTTCGCAAAGAAACAAATTCCCATTGCGTAGAAAAAGCTGGGTTTCCAAAAAAAAGTGTCTGTGATAAAAATATATACATCATGTATTAAAATGAGACTCACTTTTTTTGACCACTGAAAAACTGCTCTTGTGCAGAAAGGGCTCTGATGGGGAAAGGTTCCACATGTGTGAGTAGAAAAGGAATAAAAGCACTGTTTACAGGTCCAAAAAGGTATTTTGGGGGCTGGAGTAGGAGCTGAGAGGTGACAAAATTTGGGGTCACAGCGGGGAGGCCACGTTAAGAGAAAGGGAAACAGAGGAGCTGAAGACACTGGTCAGAAGTGGTGACTGTGAGCATAAATATCCACTTTTTTGGGGGTAAAACCTTTCCATGGGCTGGGCTGTGGGGACACTGGGGACGGAGGATCCTTCCCTGTGGGGAGGGCTTGACTGAGATCCACCAAACACCTCCTGGAGGCAGCATCAACCTCCCACCTCACCCTGAGCCCACACCACCACTGGTGGGGTGGAGAGAGGATCTGAGGTCTCTGCTGGGCTCGTTCTCCTCCTCCTGCAGCTTCCTGTGGCTGTCACCTCCCAGAGCCCAGGCTGCCGGTGACGGCAGTGCCCAGCCTGGGATGGAACCTCCTGGCGAGGTGGCCCTGCCTGTCCCCGATGCCACCCAGGAGTGGCACTGCAGGGCCAGCAGGGGCACACAGGGAGCTTTAACCCTCCCAGCACTCAGCCAGCCCTGGGAATTACGGTGGGGACTGAGCAGCGACACCTTCACAACCTTTTACAAGCTTTTCTTCATTTTCTAATTCAGTGCCAGAACTTTAAACAAGGGGCTCAATAGATATTCAAACAGCAGCTGTCAGAAATAGGAAGTAAATAAGGGATTTTATTAAAATAAAGTCTATTTTGCAAATCTGTTTTTAAGAAATAAAATCTCTTTTTTTATCCTCTTTTTTCACATTGAGAAGCTCCAGCTCAGCCTATCCAGGGATCTGGGGATCTGCCTATGAACATTCTTTTTTTTTTTTTTTTTGGGAAGCTAAATAACAATTCTCACCTTTTGGAGATTTCCTGTCCTTCCCCTCTTTGCCTTGGGCTGGGATGAGCAACCCTGGTCCAAATATCAAGGAATTGATGCCAACCTTCCTCTGCAAAAACTGAATCAAAACTCACCTGGAAACCCCACATTTCCAATATCCAGGTGCTCATTTAAGAGCTTTTGAGATGGGGTGGGATGAAAGAAGGGGAAGAGAAGGAGGAACAACAATTTTGGGGAAGATTTCATCTGTTTCAAGGAACAGGAGCTCCCAGGAGCTCATTTGTTTCTTTTCCTGACCCATCATGTCAGCACCAGGATGCAGGCCCCACTCCTCCATCCTCCAGCACAAGCCAAGGGGTGTTTCACATCACACCAGCCACACTCCTGAACAAATATACTTTTATTGGATATAGGTTTGGTTCCATAATGAAAATTGAGAATATAATTTGTTTTTTTTTTTTCCAAAAGGGCATTTATCCACTAATATACAAAAAGCCTCTATTTACGGCAAACAAAAATACAAAATATTCCTGATTTCTTGCAATGTGTCTTCCTTCTTTACGATAAAAGAACACTTTAGAAACACAGTTGATGTCTCTTTATTTTTTTCCCTGGTATTTGTCCTGGCCTCCACAACCCTGCCTCAGCCTTTTTTTGGTCAGAAGCAACCGATCCCAGTAAGACATGGAAAGCAGACAAAAGTCCATGTTTGCTCATCCATCCTCCTCTTTTTGGCCAGACCCGTGAGCAGAAACTCTGTGGGGATATTCCAAAGCACCGGTGCTGGGCAGGAAAGCAGCTCGACGCCGTGCTGGGTCAAAGCAAGCAGGAATATTCAGGATGAGCCTGGATTGCTTGGTCTGCCATGAGTTCAGCCTCTGGGCCAGTGGGGAATATCAGGAATTATTATGTGCCTGTGGGTATTGATGGCAAAATTTTGGGCATTATTAATACCTGTGGGTATTGATGGCAAAACAAAACTCATCCTCCTCCTCCTCCCGGGGTGGGGCTTGGCTTTCAAAGGTAAAATAAAAGAAGAAAACAAGAGACCTGAAGGGCACCAGAGAAACCTGGTCTGAGGAACCTGAGGGATGCAAAGATTAAAGGTGCAGAGCGAATCCCACGGGGCTTGGGGGCCAGCGTGGGCATTCCCCCGGTGCTGCCTCTTCCTCCACCGCCCACGGGAAAACAAAGCCGCTTTACCTTCAAAAGTCGCTCTGGCAGGGAGGGGTGGGAGGCACCCGCTAAAGAGAGTCCGCAGCAAGACGCGCCTTGAAAAATGCCCTGAAATCCTGAGTCACCTTTAAAACACCGCTTTGGGGTTTGTTTTGTTCTTTACCCGCGTGGTGAGGTCTGAGTCCGATCTCTCCCTCCCACCGCGCCCCCCGGAGCAGCGCTCGGGGCCATGGGGCGTCAATTGCGGGGCACCTACTGGAAATTAAACACCGCCTCGGAGAAGTGCAGAGGGAAGCAGGAGAGGAAGGGGATGCCGATGTGGTAAAGCCTCCCGTGCACCTGGGAGTCGAGCATGAGCGAGGCGTTGAGGGCCGGCCCGAAGCC